GCAAGTTATTATTCAATTTAAAAATTCATATACTACACATGTATATATCTATACATATATGTGTGTGTGTACGTGTGTATATATACACACATCCATGCCTTTTGCTATGGCTCTCCAATCCATTCCTCCCTGAGAACTTCCCTCAGTGGTGAGGTGTGGGCCTCAATGGTTATGACCATCCATTATAGAACACTGCCCTGGCAGTGGCTGACTGGACCATGGTGAACCACTGGGCCAATCAGATCCTCTAACCCTAAAATCTGGGATTAAGATAAAGATGCTGGTTCATCAGCTAAGACTCTGCATTCCCCATACAGGGTGCCCAGGTTCAAACCCTGGTTGGGGGACTAAATCCCATATGCCTCAGCTAAAGACTTGCATGCAGCAACAAATACTGAAGGTCCTGTATGCTGCTGAGACTGGGCACAGCCAAAAAAATATTTTTGGAAAAAATAAAGATACTAGCTCAAGCAGATTAGAACTGACAAGTGAAACTGGGAGCCCTGGACTAGAGAAAGGTAATGTTTGTGTGCAGAGATGAACATAGCCTAGGGGAGAAAACTGAGGTGTGCTGTTTGGTTGGATTTCTGCTAGCTTTCCAATTTCACTCAGTAGTCTCTTGGGTTACCAAACCACCCGCCCTGCCTTTGGGTTCTATAGCCTTAAAACAAATTACTTTTTTTCAAAGGCCTAACAGGGGGCTCAATATATTCACTGGAAGAATTGATGCTGAAGCTGAAACTCCAATACTTTGGCCACCTGATGCAAAGAACTGACTCATCTGAAAAGACCCTGATGCTGGGAAAGACTGAAGGTGGGAGGAAAAGGGGACGACAGAGGATGGATGAGATGGTTGGATGGCATCACTGACTCAATGGACATGAGTGTGAGTAAGCTCTGGGAGTTGGTGATGGACAGGGAAGCCTGGCGTGCTGCAGTCCATGGGGTTACAAAGAGCTGGACCCGACTGAGCAACTGAACTGAACAAGGGCCAGGTGGTAGGAAGGTCCAAGGTGGGTACAGACAAAAAGGAGTGAACTGTTGGTTTAGAATCATGGTGACAATAAAAAGCAGACAGACTTTTAGATGATTTTACTATTGCTTTAAATTCTCTAAAATGCTAGTGATAAGATATTACTCCCTTCTCTCCTCCACACATCAATGACCTTTTTCTTCATGAGCTAGTCTAATTCTAGTTCTGTTAGATATGACCAAAGTGCCTTGAATATAACTGAAACTAATCTTGACCCAATCAACAATCTGAACATAAAGAAATCTGAGTTGATAAGCATTCCTACTTTGAAATTAACACAATTATTAAGTCAAGTGAAAAAAAATTCCTTTTTTAAAATTTAAGTTAAATTTTTATTTATTTCATTATTTTTAAGAAATTAAATCCAGTACAAATTTAGATTCTTGTTTGAAAGGTGCTGCTGCTGCTGCTAAGTCACATCAGTCATGTCTCCCCTTTATAAAAGGTTAAAAGAAAAAAGTATGCAAATTTTTTTTTCTTTCTCATTTATGATGTCTGCTTGTGTTTAAGGGAAGCAAGTTGTTACAGGTCACTAATGAACAATCACTGCGGGGACCAAGCCATCAGCATTATGCACATAACAGAACTCAATATGTGCTAACTCCAGTGGGTCCGAAGGTAAAGAATCCACCTTGCAGGAGACAGGGGTTTGATCCCTGGGTTGGGAAGATCCCCTGGAGAAGGAAACAGCAACCCACTCCAGTATTCTTGCCTGGAGAATCCCATGGACAGAGGAGCCTGGCAGGCTACAGTCCATGAAGTTGCAGAGTCAGACATGACTGAGCGATTAACACACACACAAAGCTCAATAAAGTATTTCTAAATCTTAAGTCTATGGACCTCAATGTTCTGTATATAAAATCTTTTAGAAACTGGAAGGGAAACAGAAAAAGCATTTTATGAAAGCTTACAGGGAAAAATTTACATATGAACAATTGTAATATGGCAGATACAAATTAAAAATACGCACTGGTTCACAAAGATGAATTACGATTCATATAGTTCTGACTGTGGCCACTAAGAGAATTTCAAAGTTTCTTATTTGAATCAAGAAAAAACAATGAGGATTTGCATGTGAAAGTAACTCATACCTGGTATGATCATATTCTCTAGACCAATATAATGTCCACCAAGACTGTCTTTAGTTAAGATTTTTGGTGACAGTAACCACCCCAGTTTACACCATTTCTGATTGATTAATCAGTCTTTTCACTGCCTCTGCTCAACAAATATTCACGGAGCACTCTGCTTTAAAAAATCTTATTTTAATTTTTGGCCGAGGAGCATGTGGGATCTTGGTCCCCTAACCATGGATTGAACCTGTGCCCTGTACATTGCAACTGTGGAGTCTTAACCACTGGACCACCAGGAAATCCCTCATGGAGCATTTTCAATGTACAGGTATATTCTAGGCAAATAAAACAGATATACACCCTAAAATCCCCAGGATTAAAACATAGCCAAGGAACCCAGGAAACGAGTGATTTCAACAACACACTTTACAAGTTAATTTCCAGGCTTCACAGGATCCTATAATTAGATGCAGCAGAAGTTACCTAACTCAGGTTCCCAAAGAAGAGTAAGATTTAGCCAGGAAAATAGAAGTGGGAGAGGAAGTGGTGACCAGGCAAAGGAAACAGCCTATGCAGAAAGCCTAGTGGCGCGGTTCAAGATCAAAGAACTGAAAGAAGGTTCAGTGTGAGGGGGAGTACAGTGATGAGGCCTGAGAGCTGGGCAATGTGCCTGCCCAGTTGTGTCTGACTCTTTGCGACCCTATAGACTGCAGACCGTCAACCTTCTCGGTCCACGGGATTTCACCAGGAAGAATACTGCAGAGGGGTTGCCATTTCCTTCTCCAAGGGTCTTCCTGACCCAAGGATTGAAACTTCGTATGCAGGGTCGCCCGCATCACATGTGAATTCTTTACCACTGAGACACCAGAGCTGGGCAGAGGTGGAGCCAAAAGGCCTCACAAAAAACAAAAGATGAGTATTACTTTTCTTTCTGGGGGAAAAATGGACTTAAAATGATTTCCTATAGACCAAAAAGAGTCTACAAGTTTAACACCTCACTTCTCACACAAATATACCTGTAATGTTGTTATTATAAAGCTATCTAATCCCATACATTCACAGTGATAGGAAAATATAGCAAAAATATACATTATACATCAAAGCAGCTTCTACAAAAATATCATATGACTGTAAGACAGGATTAGTTTCTTCTCTGCAAGACACAACCTGTATGAGAATAAGACATTCTAGAGGAAAAACACATCAACAGGGTCCAGGTCACCAACAATATGCAAACTTCACAAAATACTGTAGAGCCAGCGTTTTATATCCAAATTACACCTTCTGTACTATAATGAGTTGTTTGCCTCTTAGGGTCCTACAGGCAGGAGACAAAATTTGACACAAATACATTCGAATATATACCAAATATAAAATCATCTCACTTATCCAGCCAGACTAGGACAAGGATATTTCTCATAAATTTTCTAAACATCAATTAAGCACCAAAACTTACTTACTTTTGAATGATTTTCCCTAAAAAGCGTCTCTGTGTCTGAACCCTCTTAAACCTACTGTACAATTTAATCTTCACTCCACATTTTGAGGCCATTATTTTGGAAATCAATTATGGGTTCTAGTATTCAATATGAGCATCAATTACCAGGATTTAGTAGAGACCTATGCCCCTTTTTGAAAAGGGCCCTGGATGGATATACAGGGATTTAAAAAAACTTTTTTTAAACACTATATACATAGTTTGAAATTTCTCCTTTAATAGGTTGTCAGTGTTCACTAGCTACAATCTGGATGCCTACCCAGGGCTTTTCCTAATTTGCTGCCTCTAGTTTCAGCCTGGGAAACCAGATAACTGAACAAGTTCAAATTACAAGGAAAATGAATAAGGAGTTGCTGAGTGAGCCTTTCGCGCAAGAAATACATTTTCTGCCATCCGTTTTGGCTGCTGGGGACTATTTCGCTTCTTAATAAACGTTCACACTGATATTCCACAAGGTCTTAAGTGAGGAAGGCCACTTTATGAGTTCAAGTTACCTCCTGACAAGTCAGGCGTTCTGATCTTACACACCGATTCCTGGTTGGGTTTGCCTCCACCACTCCTAAGTGCAAAAGACACGCGGGGTGGGGCCAAAATGCCTAGTGAACGGCAACCAGACCTAAATCTTCCTTAGTGTACCCTACCCGAAGAGTGGCATTAACCGTGACTGCAAGTGAAATTCCCTGAGCTTGCCTGCCACATGCTAAGCTCTTTCTATGCAGGAACGCGTTTGAGTTCGTTCACCATTTCTTGCTAGTTCTGGCCCAAGAGGAGATGGGGAGACGAGACAGCTTTTAAAGGTGTCCTAACGGAAAAAAAATCGAAGTTATCACACTAAATCTTATCTCGAAAAGGGAGGATGTGTGTAATACAGGAGTTACAGCCAACTTCTGCAGCGAGCAAGCTAGCGAACGAGCGAGCACTCCCCCCACACACCGGAAGTTTTGAAATGTCCTGCGGGCTTCCCATAGGCAAAGTGCTTTTTCCTTCAGCCCATCTCTGCCGGTCCTCCCGAAAGCTTCGAGGACCCCCCCCCCCACCTCAGAGTCCGGCCGCACGCGGGGCTCGGGGGCCGCTCATGGGGCCACGAAGGGGGAAGCGAGGCCGTCAATCACGGCCGGCCGCCGGCTCCTGGCGGCGTAACCTTGGCCGCTCGCGAGTCGCGAATCGGGCAGGTGGGAGGCACCTGCGGCCCGGGCCCGGGCACCCGCGGCCCGGAGTCTCCGGGCGGGAGGGGGTTGCCGAGCACTGGCCGGCGCAGGCCCGGCTGACCGTCTCGGCCGCTCGAGCCCTCGAGGCGGCCCCGCCTGGGGGCCGCGCGGCAGGGTCCGGGCCCCGGGGGCTCAGTGAACTCGGCGGCTCGCCCGGCCCCCGCCCGCCCCTCGGCGCCGCCACTCACCGAAGAAGCCCTGCACGATGCCCAGCGGGTGGCTGAGCCAATCCTCCCCACAGGGCATCTCGCCGACGGGCCGGAGCCGGCGCGGCCCGGGCGTCCCGCGCGCCGCTGATCCTCGTCGGGGGCTCGGCCGCTCCTCGCCCGCGCCCTCCCACGCAGGGGAAACCTCGCGGCGCGGGCCGCCCGGCCTCCCCGCGCCTCAGGGAACGGCGGCGGTGGCGGCAGCTGTGAGGCGCTACCGGCGACGGGCAGGCGGCGCGTGCGGGCCCCCAGCCTCCACTTCGCACAATGGCGGGAAATAGGCGCCGCCGCCGCCGCCGACCGCGCTGCCGGCGACCTGGGTGGAGCTCGTGCGGGGAGGGGCGGCGGGAGCGCGCGGCGCGGCCCCGCGGCGGGGAGGCGGGGCAGCCTTGCTCCGGGGGGGCGGGGCTCGGCGGGGCGGGGCCGCGGCGGCAGGGCGGTCGCCATCTTGGATACGGGCGAGAGGAAGGGCAGGCGCGGCCTCGCGAGCATGCCGCGTGGTGGCTTGAGGTCTGCATATAGCTCGGTGTCCCTCTGCAGACTTGCAAGGAGAAATTCCCTAAGTCTGTTTACAGTGGCGAGGCCTTGCGCAGGTCGGAGACCGCAACAGTCCAAAAGCACAAGCACAAAGAGACCTTAAAGTTATCTCTGGGCAAAATTAGAAGGTAACGTCGCCTCTGGTGTCAGCCCACCTCGTCCCGCCTCTTGGGCCTTTTTTTTTTTTTGGCCAATGTCAACTCTTTTGTTTGTCTCCCTGCTAGAAACCCTATGTAGTGACTTTCCTCCACTGGATCAAGTCTTCCCTCGACTGGATCAAGACAGTGGCATCTGTACACAGAAAAGTTCTGGTTAATAGTAACCTTTGAATGAGGAAATTTGGAAAATATCCAAGTTCTGTAATAAAACAGCCCCTAGATCTGGAATATATTGGAGAAAAACCTCCCTCTCATAACCTGAAATACAGCGTGTTAACAGAAGGATGATCTGAATGCGATCTATAAAGTGGGGAGCTGGAGAACTGAACTCAGATCTCAAGCCCTCTTTAGGGCAAAAGCGTTTATTTTGTATTTGTCACTGTGAACTAATTACACTCCTCTGAATCTGGTGGTCAAGGCTGGTTGAATCCCCGGATGTGGAAACTGATGCCATGGAGACCTGATCACGTGGGGCCCTCTGTCTTATTTCTTACCATTTTTACATAAGGAACTCTGGTATCCACAGATATGTGTTCCTGGGACCAATTCCCTGCAATTGATACCAGGGAGTGACTGTGATTGGCATATTATACTATACATCTGGCTTTTATGAGTTTGGGTGAGCTGAGAAAACGGTTTCAAATCTTTGGCAATACTTCTTTCATTCATTCATTTAGCAGTGAAGGGCTCGAGATTCCTGGTATTGAATAGAGAAATCTCCTATTTAGCTTTGTGGCCAGTAAAATGCAAATTAAATGTATGTCATGGACATCTGCTTTTAGATTATAATAATTTCAATTTACTGTATATGAAATTGTAGCTGGACACCAATTCAGCAGTGGCTAAGAACACTTCAGCTTTTGGTTTCTCCCTCTGTATTCAGTGATTTGTAAAAAAATTGTTCAGATTTAACTTTAAGAGACACTGTGATCCTACTGAAATGTAATTACTTTATAATGTGAATAATTTCACCCTCTAATTTTCCTGTGGCAAGATGTTTTGACACTACTAATGAGTGGTTATGAAAACTTAAAAGGCCAAGGGAAGGTCCATGAGAGTACTTCTCTATGGCAAGATTTTTTTTCCCACTGCTGGCAATCACACTTCCCTCACTCTCAAGTCTGTATTTTTAAGAAGGGCATTAAGGGACTTCGGTGATGGTCCAGTGGTTAAGAATTCACCTTCCAATGCAGGGACACAAGTTCCATCCTTCATGGGGAAACTAAAATTCCACATGCTGAGGGGCAACTAAGCTGGTGGGCTACAACTACTGGGCCCACACACTGTGTTCAGTGCCTGTGTTCCACAACAAGAGAAGCCCCCATGGGCTGCAACAAAGACCCACTGGCGTCGTGTTTTATACAGTTCAGTGAGAGACTTATTACTGAATAATTATCCACTTACAACCATGATAGGCACCAGGGAAGAAAAAGTGAAGTTCTATAAAAGCAATAAATAGTACCATCTAGTCTAGTGAGAGAGGGTTTGGGGGAAAGGATCCTTCAGGGATTTCCTGAAAATGTGACATTTTCACTAGGACTTGAAAGATAAATAAGAGTTAGCTAGGTGAAAGGCATGAGGGAAAATTATTCCAAGTCTTAAGGCTAGGAAAACAAAAACTTGAATAGAAAATTAAGAGTCACAACTTATGTCATGACAAAGCTCTCAAGAGTATTTAACAGCATAATAATGTTAAATTAGAATATTCATCTAAGCAACATTATAATTTAACTAAGGGGATGAGGATGTATAAGATTCATATATGTGATAGGATAAAGACGACTTAAACCTCATCTTAAACCTGGGAAGTCAACACATAATTCAAAGGAGAAAAAAAGGAAAAATCAGAAGTGACAATGTTAATTTGAAAATATAGAAACACTGAAAAAATCAGCAGAAAGAATTGAATGCCATTGCCTCCAGGATGGGGTAAAAGTTTCTTTTAGACATCTGCTTATTTTCTATATACTTAGCATGAATTCAACCTCAGCTGCACTGAAATTTCCACTAGATCATGAGATCTTTGAAGCAGTGATTTTGGTATTTTTATGCTGTATTGTTCCCAAGTACCTAGAAGTGTCTGACGTCATAGATGTGCAATAAATAGTTGCTGAATGGATAATGCATACTTTCCATCAATTGTCTCACTCTCTAAATAGACACATTGAGTATTTTTTAATTAATTTTAATTTTGGCTGCTCTGGGTCTCCATTGTGGCAAGCGGGGGCTCCTCTCTAGTTGAGGTGTGTGGGCTTATTGTGGTGGCTTCTCTTGTGGTAGAACAAAGGCTCTAGCATGTGCAGGGTCAGTGATTGTGGGCTTAGCTGCCCCATGGCATATGGAATTTTCCTGGAGCCGGTATCAAATCTGTGTCCCCTGCATTGGCAAGCGGATCCTTAACCACTTCCCCAGGGAAGTCACAGCAGGTATTTTATATACATTATTTTCTTGGACATTTTCCCCAAAGTCCTTTGTCCTATTTCAGTCTGGTTTGTTGCCTTCTACTGCTGGTGCAAAACTGTCTTGTTAGGATCTCCCACCACCATTATCCTAAAGATTCTCTTCTTTAGGAGTCATCTTTTCCTTGAGACTTCAAAAAAATATGTTTTCTCCTTTCAGGGCTGTGGAAAGGTTGTCCTAGGAAGGACTGCATTTCCTAGCTACGAAGTGTAGGGGAGGTTGGTTGCTTGACTAGGAACTACATTTCCCAGGCTTCTTTGATCCTAGGCAGGGATATATGACTAGGTCTACCAAAGAAGTATGAGGGAAAGTGTATCTGGAACTTCCACTTCGATTTCTTAAGAATTTGGCCTTGGATATGTTCTTTGTTCTTTCCTGATGGATGGGATGGTGATGTCTAGAATGACCTTGTGCTAGATTTTCATGTGAACATTGCATTCTGAGATAGCTTTTTTTTTTTTTTACAGCTGCTAGCATTCCTCTAAATAATACAGAAATTATTTTCAGAAGTGATGTGCTACCATAACAAAGAGAAACTGCATAATGTGGCTCTAGTTTAGTGCTTGGATAGTGGATGACAACAGATGAAAGACAAAATGCCCCAGGGAATGCAGAGGATCATTTATTCAGGCTGTTGACACATTCAGGGGAGGTGTGTTTTTTTTTTTTGCACTGAGTCTGTGTTGCTGTATACAAAGTTTCTGCAGTTGCAGAGAGTGGGGACTACTCTCTAGTTGTGGTGAGCAGGCTTCTCATTGTGGTGGTGACTTCTCTTGTTACAGAGCACAGGCTCTAGGGTGCTCAATAGTTGTGGCACTCAGGCTTACTTGCCCCAAGGCATGTGGAATCTTCTAGGACCAGGGATGAACCCTTATCCCCTGCAATGGCAGGGAGATTTTTAACCTCTGGACCACCAGTGACCTCCCTCAGGAACATTTTAAAGAGTTAAAATTGGAGATTTTATAAAAGAGTCACTGAGGATGGGGTTAGTCTTATTTTGGTATGTGCAAGAGCAAGATGGTCCTTTACAGTTAGCCCTTTCTTAGAAAACAAAAGGGAGGAGTAATTTTCTTTATTTTTTGACCATGCTGTATGGCTTGCAGGATCTTAGTTTCCTGAACAGGGACTGAACCTAGGCCCCTGCAGTGAAAGCGCCAAATGCTAACCACTGGACCACCAGGGAATTTCCAAGGATGAATTTCTAACCATCCCTATTTTCTGGGGGGTGAGGGAAACAAATAGGAAAGTTGGCACTTAGCAACCCATTGCTTTACTGTCAGAGGATATGGGTCAGGGTTCTATTGTTAAATGTGGTCTGATCACTGTTTGTGTATTCAGTCTTCCAGATATATTGTGCAAACCACACATGTAATTTAAAAGTTAAATTTTAAAAAGTAAAAAGAAACAAGTAACACTTTTTAAAAAAATGAGCTGACTTTCTGAATACATTTAAAAGAATAAATAGTCCTTTCAATGGAGAGAAAAAGAACAGACATTGCTCTGGCACAGAGTGGTAACACTAATTTTAACGGTATATTTAACCCAATATGGGTTTCTCTTGTGGCTCAGATGGTAAAGAATCTGCCTGCAATGTGGGAGTCCTGGGTTCAATCCCCGGGTTGGGAAGATCCCCTGGAGAAGGGAAAGGCTACCCACTCCATTATGGACTGTAAAGTCCATGGAGTCACAGAGTCAAACACAACTGAGTGACTTTCACTTTAACCTAACATATAAAAATATTGTAATCTGTAGAAATAATCCATGTGAAGACTATTATCTTTTTTTTAACTAATTCTTCAAAATCTCAATTCAAATAGCACATCTCAATTCAAATAGCCACATTTCTAATGCTTAGTAACCACAGGTGGGCACAGCTACAAGATCA